TGCTGATGTGTCGCCCTTTTGCCTTTGCCTTTCCCAAACACAAGTCATCTGGCCTTCCCTTGTTTTCCCACTGTGATCTGAGTATCCTCTCCCATGCTGGTTCCTTATGTCTAAAACAGGCTCTCTTTTCTTCTGTGCCAAACATCTAAACTCTCCTTAATCAAATCTGTCCTTAATCCCCTGTGTTCTGCAGGGTATCATGCCTGTTTTGTACAACTGGAAAAGTGTATTGTGCTTCTTCTAACAGTTATCCATATCACGCTGCCTGCTTTTTCCCTTTCATTATCTTTCTGTATCCAAAGATTTGGGTTCTGTTTTCACTTACTTAAGTGCTTATTTTGGGGACAATGTGTTCTGCCACTTCAGAGAAGCATGTGTTTTTTCCTAAGATTATTTAAATCTTAAAATAAGATTTATTGAATAAGTTTGAAGAGAATTAAGCTGCTGGAAATGCAAGAGAAGAATAAAATATTTATAAAAATAATTAATAAATTATTTATAGGTACTATCTTTTTACTCCCTTCATGTTAGCACTTAAGAACAGAAGGGAATTCCCTTCTGCTGGTCTGTGTGACAAAAAGAAAAGTGTGGGCAATAGGAAAGAAAAGTGGTAGAAGCTGGAAGAAAAAATGCCATGTTATTTACAGCATGAAATAGTCATGAATGATTGCAAAAATATGAACTTTCTCCCTGCCTAAGTATTTTCTGGGTTCTCTACTCCACACAGTCACTACTTTTTGGGAAAAATTTGGGGAAGAAAATACATTTGATATCCTTTTATAATGTATTTTTAAAAGAAAATGAAAACCTAGAATCTCTCTAGGAATTTTCAACCATTATAAGCCTTTTAGAGAAAAAGAAATGCAATTAAACAGCCCAAAGAAGTCAGGGTAAAATTGTCAAGTGATAGCATTATTTTCCGGAACTGAAGTAATGCTCTGCTATTGGTATGAATGTTTGCTGACCTTTGTATTGCAGGATTCAATGTCAACCACTTAGACATTGCCCCAAGGTACGCCAGCATCTTAATGGGGATTTCTAATGGAGTCGGGACCTTGTCTGGAATGGTTTGCCCTATAATTGTCGGAGCAATGACAAAGAACAAGGTAAACGGTGATGTGGTTTTCAAATCTTCCAATTTAATATTATTAATATGTTTTAAAGAAAAAGACCTTTCCATAGTACAGCTTGCCAGGAAGTCCCTGTTAGAGTCTGAGAGCTCCAGGAACTTGGAAATTTGAAGCATGCTATATGCTCACCAGGTCAATGCTTTTGTAGGCTAATGAATAGTGATTTTTCAAAGAAAGACAGATAGAAATGATTGGAAACTGGACACTGATATGTTTTAGCTCTGCTGACTATTACAGCCTCAATCCCTAATTTAGAGCTTTCAGGCTCAGAAGAGTTAGCTAAGTCTATGCACTAGTCTGATTTAGCAAATTCCTTCTTTACAGACACGTGAAGAGTGGCAGTATGTCTTCCTCATTGCTGCTTTAGTTCATTATGGAGGTGTTATCTTCTATGGCATATTTGCTTCAGGAGAGAAACAACCCTGGGCAGACCCTGAACAGACAAGTGAAGAGAAATGTGGCTTTATTCATGAAGATGAACTTGCTGAAGAGACAGGGGACATTACTCAGAATTATGTAAATTATGGTACCACCAAGTCTTATGGTGCTACAACCCAGGTCAACGGTGGCTGGCCTAATGGTTGGGAGAAAAAAGAGGAATTTGTACAAGAGGAAGTACAAGACTCATACAACTACAAGGAAGGAGATTATTCATAACAAACCTAAATATTGGGTATATTTTGTAGTGTTTGTGATTAAATTCATTGTGATTGTTTGCACACAGAAATAAAATGTGGTATAAACATGTAAACACATATCAAACAGGAAGGTCTTACTGTAAAAAAAATCCATTAAAGTGCAATCTGTATGAGTTGTGACATGTCATCACTTTCATTAGGTTATATTTGTTCTATAAACATTAGAGTTTTAAGGGTTTACTGGTCAAAACTATAGAGGCAATTAGATACTTACAGTATACAAGAGCTAAAACTCATAACTAAGGATTAAAGCACAACTAAGCAACCAAGTTGGCACATCTAATGCTCTTTTTAGAAAGCCAAAATTACTTGATCATTAAAAATGCACTTATATATTTGTTACACTGTATTGAAAGAGATTGTGTTAAATACACACGTTTACTCAGTGCAATGTAGGAATTGTGTGTTTAGTCTAAGACAAGAGCTTTCTTAAAGAAGAAAGGTTGAGTCCTAGGCATTTACAGAGGATTGATCCAGTTCCTTTAATGGTAATTGTATCAAGCCTAAAGAACAAATAGGGCATATTGTATGTTTATTGTGATTACATGCTGCAGGCTACTCTGTGATGAATAAAGGAATTATTTAGGAGTTTTATACTGAATGTTTGGGCACAAATTCTTATTTCTGTTCTTTACAGAATCTTATGAAATTATAGGCACTGTCATGTTCTTCCCTGCATTTATCAACTAATATAAAACCAATGTATAATGTTAAGTCTGACTTTTCATGCAGACTGTCAAATCCCTTTATCAAAAACCAAGCTTTATTATTCTTTTCTTTGCAGTATATTCCAACTTTGTACTGATGTCTTTAGAGAGAGAAAAAAACAATATAACCTAGAAAAAGATATAGTATTTTACAAAATTCCAAAGAGAAATTTACTATGAGCAAGTAGCCCTATGAAAAAGGATGTATTTGTTTTGCAGAATATTTTGAAGCCAATAGAAGAAACAGAGAATAATTTAACCCTTATTCTTCCCTTAATAGCGTTCATATTTTTACACATCATGCCACAATTGTATACATAGATAGAAGTTTATTGAAGATACTGTAATTATAGAAAATGTTGCTATTTTAGAAATCCCTGAAATAAAAAAAATGTATTTGTCTTTCAATTAAACCTAATAAAAATGGACACTGAATATAAGTAACATATAAACTCACAATAAACCAAAGTGGCAAACAACTAGTGTTGGGTTGAAAGAAGCCAACAAGCATCACGCTTGTCTTTTTAGCATAACTCAACAGTGACTGCAACATTAGTGTACCAAGCAATAAGTGCAATGCATTATGAAGTGCATAATCTAGACTATATATTAACCTTCATTTAGCTTGTTGTATATATTTGGGGTTGTTGGGATCAAACCAAACTGAACCAAACTGAAGTTAGCAACACCAGACCACTTCTTAATACTCTAAAATGACAACAATGATCCATTTCTTAATTCAATCAAATGGTTATTATTGTATGTAATAATCCATTCTGGATTCTTGGTCTGTTCCTTGTATTGTGCTAGTGATTGGAAACCCTGCTACCGCAATATACAACTTGAGGATTGTTTCTTTTCCTTTTTATTTTTTTTTTTTTTTAAATGTAAATCATACCTTGACCTTAAGAAAAAAATATTTTGCTTTGTGCCTCAAAGTGATGTAAAATGTGACCATAGCTTTTGCTGTGTTTTATGAAAAAGATGTGGACTGTGTCACTTTTGTTGCTGCAAAAAGTGTTAATAAAATGCTCTATTTATCCTTTTATATAAAAAAGGACCATTGTAGTTTCTTGTCATTTCTTTAGGTACACTTTAATATAGATGACTAAAATTATAGTCACTGCAGAACAAATTCTCATGTCCCAGCTGGGAGGGATGCTGAATACCCAGTGTCCTGCATTGTCTACTGTCTCCTCCAACCATGCACAGATACGTGGTGGAAGAGACACCTAACTCTATATTACTGTTCCTTCCCTCATAAGGATGACTGGAGTAGGCATGGAAGAGAAAGGAGCAGAAGGATCAATGTGCCAGCCAATGCCACAAAACTGGGAAAGACAGACTATTCTGTGTTAGCTAAAGAGCTGGCATGGATCAACATTCTCTAAAGAAAATGAAAAGCATCACAGACTGCTGTTCTTGGAATATATTTCCTTTCCTGCTCCTGCAATAAGACTCCTTAACTGAAATATAATGTTGCTTTCCATCCATCTTTAGATAGATCCTCAAGGAATCAGTAAATTCAAGAAATCCTATATTAAAAGTAAGGTTTTTTTCTAATAAAATTTTTACTCTTCAATAATTTTCTTGCATCAAGTAGAAAAATGTAGAAAAAAATTAAACTGAACAAAAGGCTGCAAAACACTACACGGAACATTAATGGGCCCAGTGTTTCCCACCAACCAGCCTCAGCTGAGTCAGGTATAACACACAAAGTTACTGTTAATTGTTTTGATCGACTGGTGTGATGTTGCCATGGAAAATTCCTGAAAGATTCAAAAGTGGGATAAATAGGGGCTGTAAAAGTAGTTGTATTTATTGCGGTAATTGGACAGCTCAGAAAATGAAAACTAATTAACAAAATTAACATAAATTCTTCTTAGTTTTCAGCCTAATCTTACAGGTTGTTTCAATTATTTCAATAATTTCCTTTCATTAAGTATAGATATTTCTTTTTCTTATTAGCTTGGCACCTTTTAATTACTTAGAACAAAGAAGAGACTTCAATCAAGGCATTAGACACTGCATTGTTCAGCCATGTACAACTCCGTGGGAACTCAACAATTGCCTTTAAATGCTACACCAGTCTAATATTCTCCACATTCCCTTCCTAGCTTTCTGCTTCTGCTTTGACTCCTTTATTTCCTCTTTAAATGTTAGTGCAGAGGGATCTGTTCTTCTGGCAAGGGAGAGGACTGTGACAGTTTTTAAGATTTTTACTTATTCACAGACTCTTATTCCCAGAAAAATACAGGAAACAATCACCAGGAACATGACTGACAAAGAAGGAGAAATGGAGAAAATAATTGGATTCTTGTAAAGGACGATTAAGTGAAGACAAGCAGCAACAGCTGGATCTGTTTTAGGGAAAAAGAGAGCTGAGTGGACATTACCCTTCATCTAAACTCCTATATTTCTTCTCAGTAAATACGTTTAGGTTTCTTCCTGGCTACTTAATTTTTATAAAGGAGAATTGCTAAAATATACCTCTTCAGCCTCTTCTGAACTGTGCTCTTTCTGCCCAGAGATTTCTCTTCTGCACTCACATTCAAAGACCAGCCCTGCAGACGTGTGGCACTTGTACGGCACGGTGTTCCTCTTTTGGAACTCTGAGCAGCTCAAATCACCCCCATTTATCCATCAGAATGAGTCCACAGTCACTTGATCATTTTGTCCCCTCACCTATTTCTGTTCTGTTCCCCTATCTGGTACTCTCTGCTCACTTACTATGTTAAAAAAAGGAAAGGAATTGTTACTCACATTTTTATTTATCAGTTAGTTACCTTCTCAGTGAAGAAGTGTAAGTAAAAGGAAGGGGCAGAATCCAGGCTCCATTACAATTGTTAGAAAAGCTTTGAATTTAGATGGGCTAGAATATCACCTCAAATATTCACTTTTATGTCCTTAAATGATTTCGTATAGATATTATCACTCAACCAGTGACAATCTTTTAAATATTTGAATCTGCATTGGTCAGATCCCTTCTGCTAACACCTACTCTTTGTTGCAGAGATAAAGCTATCATAAAGTGCTCTTTGCTTTCAGAAGTGATCATGAAATTCAATGGACCAAATTTCATAAAAAACACTTTTCTATGGGGGAAAAGAAAGCCTCAAGGTAAAGGTTGAATAACAGTGACAAAAGAATATCTGCAAATATGAATGAAGTCCTCTTTCAGCGTGAAGCTAGGAATAGGAATGAATGTGGAAGTCAGAATAAATGTCACAGTTCAAAGCTGTACTGTTAGAAAGATAACATCACAGTCTTAGTTGCTGCCTCTGAAAGATGAAATGTTTTGTTCCTTTCAGGATAAGCTGTGAAGGAGTTTGAAGGTTAGTCTAAGTCTAGATTAACTACTGAACAGCAGCTGCTTTTGTACTTGTTTTGAATTTGCCTGTGTTTTTTGCTTGAATAACTTTCATTGTGCTGGGACATTTAAGAGTAAATAATGAAAGGACCTAGAAGTGCAGTCAGGTATTTTAATTGCATATCTATGTGTAGCCTCTCTGATCCAGCTAATGTGTCTGACGCTGCTATTCTAACTTTGCTTAACACTTTTTTTGCTCTGTTGTAACCCAAAGCACGACAAAGAATGAAATATATGTTTATACAGATGTTTAACTAGCTTTTCAAAGTTGATATATTTTTCTTTACACTACTTCTGGCATGCTGTCTGCTCACAAAGTATGCAAGCAAATGATGTTCTTGATCTTTGCACTAACCAGGGTCAGCAGTTAAAACTGATGGTTTGCAAAACTGGCGATCAAGGCATTATAAAGAGTAACACAACCTTGTACAACTGACAAGGAGTTGATGATGAGGTGCATCTTGTACCCTGAGGATCAAATGGCAGGTTCTGTGCACAAAGAATAGTGGACGTGATGAGCATTTGACATGGACAAACAGTACAGATGTATTTGGTTTAGCAAGATCCCAATTCATACTAAGTAGTAAGAATTCATTCACATCTACTCTGACTGTGACACCTTGAACATTCAATGTATAATTTATACACATGTAAATTTACTTCCTCTACTGCTTTTCTTTCAGAGAATACAGAGATTGCACATCATTAGCAATCTAATGAAATAAACTGGTTAATTAATCAGCAACAAAGAATTTTATTTCAAATGGTAAACATAGCTTATATGAGAAAGATAGCAGCCATCCACAAAAAAGATGGTTGCTAGAATTAATCCAATAGTAAAACTTTACTTAAAATTTAACATGAACCACGTTAGAATATTTTTCTAAGTTTGTATATACATACACATACATGTACATATGATATGCACATATATATGTACAAAATATATGAATATTTGGAGCAGTAATAGGAAAGAATTCCCCAATTTAAGGGATCTCTTTGAATTCAGAATGTACTTTTTTCAGAGCATCTCTGTTCTCTCTTGAAAAAAAAATATGAAAAAGAACTGTCCTTGAAGAATGGAATTTCTTTATGTGTCAAGGTTCACACAGTGTCTGGTTTAGATCAGCATTCAGAAGATGCAAGTGGATGGCTGGATGTCCAAGTATCCAGAGAGAGGAAAAAATTCCTCATATTTTGAAAAATATTTCTGTGTGATACAAGCAGTCATAACTAGAAGAATCCAGATACATGCATGATAGCCCTACTCACTTATTTACTTCTCTCCATCTTTCTGTAGCATCTGGGGAGGTCAACAAATCAAAGAGAAGGGCAACTATTGTGCCAAAAACAGATGTGAGGAGAAAAAAAAAAAAGCAAAAATTATACTTGGAAGCAGAAAATTAAGTAGATACGAAAGCATTTAAAAAATAAAGGATAGCATTGTTAAAATTGGAAGATTGCCATTTAATTAGAGTTTGTCTTGTATAATCAATTAAATGTGTCAACACTGGATAATGGCCATAGATGGCCATGAACTAAATAAGATGGTGAGGAGTGTATGATCATTTTCTTCAAGGTAAACATCAGAACAATCAACAGCAGTGCTTTCAGTTTTAATCCAGAAAGTTACAATGCTATTTTCTCTTTTGTAAATGTTGCTTTGTGAAATTAAAATGGAATCAAACAAAGACAAGGTCAACCAACGCTTAACTTTTTTCTCAGCTGTGTTTTTCTGTGCAGTTCTATCTGCTCATAGGATCAATAAAGGACAAACTGTTTCTCCTGTATAGATGAAACACCAATTTAAACGTAATGTGTGAAAAAGATGCTTGTCAGCATGTACAAGTCTTACACAGAAAATCTCAAGGCAGCACTGTAAGGCGAAGACCGACCATCTAGCTCTACTTTAGGAGTCCTGAAGTCAATGGTCCACAGTTATTTCTTGACTGGTAGCTGATGGCATATAATAGGACGGTGCTATGAAGTGGACTGGCTGTGCTTTGTGAGCTAGTATTCTCCATTGTACAAACATGCAAATCCCAGTTACTGTTGACATGTGCTCTTTAATAATAAAAATGTAATAATAATAATCTCTAAAGTCTAAAAGAAGAGCCAATTTATCCTTCAAAAACTTTTCAGCTCACTTTAAGCAACCTGAAAATGAAATACACTAAAAATTGAATTAAATACATTAAATATTTTTAAAAAATGATGTATTTCAGGAAAGAAAATTTTGATTTTTTTTCTATTTCTCTCAGATCTCAATCATACCTACCCAATTAAAACCAGATATCTTTATTTTTTTTATATTGTCTGGATTATACCAAGGAGCTTAAAATTTTACTTCTTCATAAATCAATACATCTTTCTTGTCAAATCAAATAATCATTTTTATGTACTGAGCACATTCAGTAATGAATGAGACAGAAATTAAAATCTAATAATTATTTCTTCAGGCCAATTATTTCAAAGGACATTTGTGTATGTGTGTGTCTGTTTCATATGAGTAAAAAGAAAGGGTATATGTTTAAAAAGCATTTTCTAGTTCATTTATTTTCTTGTCTTATAATATCTCTATTAGCCTAGAAACTAGTTCATACAATGCCAGTCTTATTGCAACTGTCGTTTGCTGTTTATATTACAAAATGTAAATACTCCGTGTTTCATTTAGACTAAATTCCTTT